CCCAGGGAGCCAGGCCAGGTCACCTTGCCGGGCCTCCGTCCCTCTCCCCGCACTGCCTGAGCAGGAGGTCGGGCTGGGAGCAGGTGAGGGGTGGCCCTGAGCCCTGCTCCCTCCCTGGGCAGGACACCCTGCCACAGCCCCAGTGTGTACACTTCACCCCACTGCAGTCCCCCTGCTGCACCCCAAGCCCCGGGACCACCGTCCACCTGATGCTTCCTCGGCTGCTGGGCGTCCGCAGCTCGGTGCTGCCCTCTGTCTGACGGACCCTGCCGGAAGGCGCTCAGGACAAGGAGAGGAGACAGGCTGCACCTGTGCCTGCTGCAGGCCAGTCTTTGCCCCTGGGACCAGAGAGCTCCGGCCGCACCACACTCAGATCCAGGACAGCGGCCACGGGAGCTCGGTTTACTGATTGATCGCTTGATGACTGACTGATGGATGGGATAGAACTCAGGGACTCACATATACCAAGCAAGTGCCTTGGCCCTGAGCCACACCCCAGCTCCTGTTTTATATTTTTGACAGTTTCCTGGCCTTTAGGTATTATTATTCCTGAGAATAATTTATTTCACTTGAATTGCACATTATGACTTATAAAACACTAGAACACTTCTTTATTTGCTTTCTTTTTCTTTCTTTTCTTTCTTTCTTTCTTTTTTTTTGCAGTGCTGGAGATTGGACCCAGAACCTGTGTGCTGAGCTGCATCTCCAGTCCCTTTTTACTTTTTATTCTGAGATGGGTCTCATTAAGTCACTCAATCACTCAGGTTGGAATTGAATTTGTCACCCTCCTGCCTCAGCCTCCCGAAGTGCTGGGATTGCAGGCATGCACTGGCACGCCCACTGCAGGCGTTTCTCAGAAGCATCTTTTCAGAGGGAGGTGTGAGGCACAGCTGCATGAGGCTGAGGCCCGGCTGTTTGGGGAGAAATCTGTGCAGCCGAGCACGCCCATGGGCGCTGCTGCATTTACAGAGCCTCGGAGAAGCTCCGGGGACCACACGGTCCTGGACAGGCTCCAAGCAGGAGCGGTACAGCCTCGCGCTCCTGTGCCCACGACCCATCCCTGCTGCTGGGCCTGTGGTCACACGGCCACCTGGTTTCTGCGGGCGGCGAGGGAGGAAAGCGAAGTGAGGGTGGGTCCGCTGTGTCCCCAGGTTCCTGGACAGTGTCCTGGACAGGGCCCTCTTAAATTAGCTGCGTTATCAGCATTTGTCACAGTGACCAAGACGCCCACCACCACCCGCCTCCAGTGGGGATGGTCGGTGACCTGGGAACATGGCTGACCGTGATGATGACCAGGCTGAGGATGCTGCTTCCCTGCCCCAGGGCTCTGCCGGGCTGTGTCTGGGGACAAGGCCCACCTGCCCTGGGGCCCTGGCTAATGGCCTGTGAACAGAGGTGTCAGCTGGGGCTGCCCTGACTGTCCCTGGGCAAGCACAGCCACCTCCCTGCCCAGGATGTCAGGGTGCACGGGGCGCTCCCTGCTCACTGTCCTGAAGCATCAGAACCCCAAGGAGAGGGGAGGAAGCCGAAGTCCAGAGGGGCAAAGCCAGTGCCCTAGAGCCACACAGCACAGCCAGGGTCAGAGCACCCTTAATCTGTACCTTCCCATCCACTTCCCAAACACTGCCACCTGCTGTGCCCCTCTTCCTCCTCCTCCTCCTCCTCCTCCTCCTCCTCCTCCTCCTCCTCCTCCTCCTCCTCCTCCTCCTCCTCCTCCTCCTCTCACTCTTCCTCCTCCTCCCCCTGCTATCACCTCTGCCCATAGCCAAGCCCCTGTCCTCATGGGGACCTGGATGGGGGACCCTCTGGCTCCACACCCTGCTCATTGCAGTCCCACCCCTGAGGGCCGGAGCACAGATGTTTCGCCTCCCTGCCTCCCCAAGACGCTGACACTCAGAGCTGTCTCAGGTGTGTGCTCACCAGGGACAGCTGCCCATGGCCCATGCTGGCAGCTCAGGATCAGGGCTGCTAAGGCCAGGGCTTTCCCACCAGCCTGTGAAACACCCACTTAGGGTTCAGGTCCAAAGTCTCTCGATGTCTCCTGTATCAAAGGCAGAGTTTCTGCAGGCAACTGGATCACAGGTGCTGCCTGAGTGATGGCTTAGCCCCAGAGGAGGCTATGGCTTCCCGGGCTGCTGAGAGGTGGGCCAGGCAGAGGAAGGTGGGCACTGGGGTGGGACCTGGAAGGGTGCATCTTGTCCTGGTGTCTCTGTCTCTCACTGTCTCTCTCTCTCCCCCACCCCACCCTCTTCCTGTCCGCCCATGTTGTGAGCAGCTGTCTTACTCCACATCCAGCTGTCATGCTGTTTCTACCTAATCACCGGTCTGAAGCAAGGAGCCAGCTGACCATGGGCTGAACTTCTGAAACCATGAGCCAGGATAACATTCTCACCCCTTAAATTAGCTGCATTATCAGTATTCGTCACAGTGGTGGAAAACTGACTGAGAGTCTTGCCCACCACCACCCCTGCCTCCATGGAGCCTACCACTGAGCAGGAGGGAGAGGCAGTTCTCACACCATCATGAGGACTCAGCTGGAAGAGTCCAAGGAGGAAGGAAGGGGCACCTCTTTCCCTGGGGAGCAAGTGAAGCCCCTTTGGTTGAGCCCCTGGGACCAGAAGCCAAGCACCTACCTCTGGGACTCAGGCCAGTGGAGACCTGCAGAGAAGCAGACCCGGCATTCAGCACCCTGGTGTCTTGCACACCCCCGCCCCAAGCACTGCAGACTCCAAGGCACACACCCAGGGGCTCTCTCCTTGCCACTGCCTGAACAAGTGAACCCAAGGCAGGCAGCCAGGCAAGAAAGGAACCACCACTGCATCCCAGCTTCTTACCTCCTTGCTTCATCCACACAAACAGTCGGGCCCGGGGACCCCAGGTGGTGCCTAACCAGGTGAAATGTACCTTCACGGTGTCTACAGAAGACTGTCGTGATGAGCCCACTCCTGATGACAGTTCTCAGTAGAAGACACTGAGACAGTTTAGCAAGCAAGAATAAATGGAACAAAGGTGACAGAAGGAAGCTTCCTGGAGTGAAGCTTCATCTGCCTCACCTAGCTGATTTTCATGCCTTGCCCAGCACACTGCCCCCTCCTCACCTGCTCACACTGCCACACCACCTGCCCACCTGCACTGTCCACCGTCAGAGCCCAGAGTCCCCTGCAACAGAAACACTTGCCTTTGTATCTGTCAGCTTTCCCACCACGAGGACACAATAACCAACACCCGCAGCTTAAAGGACAGATTTAATTTGGTTCATGGTTTCAGAGGGTTCAGTCCATGGTCAGCTGGCTCCCAGGCAGAAATATAGTGGTGGAAGGGCACAGTGGAGAGAGCCAGAGAGGAAGGTGCCTCCAAGGTCACACCTCCCCAGCCCACTCAGACACACCCGGGAGTGGGCTCCACCAGTCCCCAGGCAAATCCCAAAGTTTACATGCTCCTAAATGGGACCAAACCCATAGCACAGCACACGGAAGTGCTCTGCAAATGCCTAGTGTGAGCATGAGGTGTAAATCACCCAAGTGACGTGCATCACTGAGGGTCACCTGGACCCACGCTTCCCACGCAGGGCCCCAGCAGCAGAGCCACCAAGCGGGCACAGGTGACCTTGGTCAGCTGGTTCCTTGGGAACCATGCAGCAGGCAGGCCTAGGGCTATGTCTGGGACTCTTCCTCTGCACACGTGTGCACTCGTAAACACACATGCTCACACAGACTCAGGCCTTGCACACTACATGAAAACAGAACTGAGAGCCACAAACTAACCTAGCTTCGTGGCTGAGCAATGGAGGCCCTCAAGACTCCAGGGCATATACGTGTGTATGTGTGTGTATGGCAGAGGTGCTCGCTTGTGTGCCTGCTGAGTGGAGCCCTGCAGGGAGGGCAGGAAGGGAGGCACTGGGGCTGGGCTGGAGGGGGGTAAGGGAAGCATTCAGGAAACTGAGGCGGCCACTGGGGAGCAGCGTGAGCTGCAGCTGGCAGCAGGCGGCCTGGGACCCAGTCTGTAAGGTAGTCTGCGGTGTAGTGGCCCCTACAGCAGCACTGCAGGTGGGGACAGCAGCTGTTGCCCAGCCACGCCCTGGTGCCTCACCTGTCTTGGTTCAGCTCCAGACAGGGGATGCAGCCGGGCACAGGCTCACAGCTCCCTGGGGGCTGAGACCCAGCCGGGTCTGGGCTGGGGGTGCTGACCACACTCCTCTTCCCCGGCATGGGCCAGCTGGCCCCGAGGCTCCCGTCTGTGTCCGAAGCCAGGCTGGAGGGCATGGGGTGCAGAGGCGACAGTCTCTTCACTGCCACCTAGTCTCTCCGCCCCTCCTAGTGTTGTGGCAGGAGGGAGCTCCGCACCCCTCTTCTGACCACATAGGTCCCTGTGATGGTTGCACAGCCTCCTGGTGGTGACCCACGCATGGTTCAGAGAAAGCCAGCAAGTCCCCATCCCTGGGTGCACCGCCCTGCTGGTACCAACTACAGTGACCTGTTGGCCTGTGGAGGTGCTGGAGGGGGACAGGGCAGAGGCTGGGCCATGGGAACCCAGGTGTCTCCCCAACCCCACCCCAGTGCACAGCCAGGAACTGGACTACAGTTTGTACAAAGTAGGTTCTGACTGGGCGGCCCCTCCCGTGGGAATAACAGGCTTGGTTCTTTGCTTTCTGTTATTAAACTTTATCCTATTCCACAGCCCTCCCAAGCCCCTCCCCGGTGACCTTGGTTTGAAGGACGTGGGTCTGCATCTAAGATGCCAAATACAAGCAACTCCCATTCACGGGCCAGCATTTCCGGAGCACACATCGCTGTGCATGACCACGGAGGACAGCTCAGCTCCACAGTGCTGCCCTGGCTGTCCGCACACCCACTGGCCGCACCGAAGGAGGGGAAGCCAAGGCAGCTACCTGGCCAGGAGCCTTGACACCTACCTTCCCTCCTACGCCTGGCCAACTCCTGTTCATCCCTCAATTCCCTGCAGTGGGCTCATAGCTCCCAGAGAGGCCTGGCCTTGGTGCCTCCTTGGGACTCCCAAAACTTCTCTGCCATTCCTGTCCAAAGCAGGAAACACAGAAATGCAGTCAACAAATTGGGATCAGCCAGCAAAGGTCGAAATCCTGCTGCTGTCCCAGCTGTGTGAACCTGGGAGGCCCCTAAGCTTCTGGTTCACCGCTCTGGTCTCTGGAGACAGCACAGGGCAGAGACACCCATCTCCAAACTTGTGCGGACACCGGCTGGACCTCTGGACAAGCTTCCAGGCTGCAAGTGGCCTCGCAGGTGGTCACTGCCATGGCCTTTCTTTCCTGCCTGCTCCCTCACTGCCCCAGGCTCCATGGGGACGGACCCGAGGACCACGCAGCCTGGACACGGGAGGACGAGGATGGCCACCTGCCCCAGGCAGCTCGGGAAAGGACCACGGCCATCAGTCACAGGGTCAGGGCTGAGCGGTGCCCCGGGAAGGCCCAGCAAGGAGGCGAGGCTGCCGGCCCCCCTGCTGAGGGTCTGGGTTCCCAGCAGCCCGGCACAGCCCCGAGCCATCTTCACGTCAACCAGCAGGCAGCTGGGTGCCGCTCTGTCCATTCATTCATCTGCTCGCTCATCTCTCTGTGCCTTGATTTCCCCACCTGCAGAATGGGCACAGTAAGTGTGACTTGGAACGTATGGCCCAGGGATAAAGGGAGATGACTACATCAACTTTATTATTGATTTTATTTATTTATTTATTTAGATAAAATCTTGACAATACATAGCTCAGGCTGTCTCGAACTCAGAGATCCTGTGCCACATGGTGGGACAGATGTATGCCACCATGCCTGGCTTATTTTTTAATACCTTTAAAGGCTACATTTAAAAGTTTTTTCAATGAAGGCTAGATTTAAAATAAGCAAATAAGGGTTAGATTTAGAAACAGAGGTCAGATATGCAGCAACACTGGCCTCCCAGTGCCAGCCACCAGGGTGACCACAGGCAACTCTGACTACCACAGCCTCCTGGGTAGCTGGAAACCTGGTGTCTTGTACTGCATAGGAGTGGCCATGGTCCCAGGGCAGGAGAGGGAGGAGGAGGCCATGGGCACCACGAGTCCCTAGCAGGCACGGACCAACCCCCAGCAGGTGAGAGACAGTGGGCAGACCCCTCCCTGTGACCCAGCCTCGGCTCAGGAAGGTGCCAGGCTGCATGGGTCACCAGCTGCCACAGCCACTCCTGTGTTGCAAGCCGGGCACCTTCCTGGCTCTGTGCCTCCTCTGCCAAAGAGCAGTTTTTAACCAGGTGTGGTGGCGCACATCCGTCAGCTCAGCACTCTGGGAGGCTGAGGCAAGAGGACTACAAGTTCAGCCCCAGCCCAGGTGAGTTAGCAATTTAGTGAGAGCCTGATTCACAGTAAGAAATGAGAAACAGGCTGGGAAAGCAGCTCAGTACAAAGGCCCTGGGTTCAATCCCCAGTACAGAAAGAAAAATTTTTAATTAAAAAAGAAAAAGAAGACTGAGGAGTTAGCTCCATGGTCAAGGCCGAGTTTGGCCTTCAATACGGGGAAGCACTCTTAGGGTCGGTTTGTCACTCCCAGCTCCACGTGGGGCTGGATGTCCTCCTGCCACTCCCCATGAGCCCCTGCGAGCCTCCACCCTGCCCTCCTCCACTGTGCTCCTATCCCTGAAAACGACTTTCTGCCTGCTGGTTGCTAGGACAAGCAACCTGCTTTGCCTGTCAGGCTTGTGTCCTGCAGCTTCACCAACCTCACTTCCTGGTTCTGCTAGATTTTGGGGGGGTTTTCCCGGTCTCCTGGGTGGGGTCCTCTGTTGTGTGGACTGAGGACAGCTGTCTTCCTCCTGGCCGCGTGTCTGTGTGGCCTGCCACACCCTGTGCTGAGGGTGTCTGTCTCCCTGGCTAGGATGGAACCCGGAAAGTGTGGGAAGTGTCTTTCATCTCATGGAGGAAGGGCCTCTGCCCTAGCGAGATGAGGTCGTTTATCAAGAAAAGGGGTTCAGTCAAGCGTTGTGGTGCACGGATGTAATCCCAGCACTTGGAAGGCTGAGGCAGGAGGATCGCCAAAATTTCAAAGCCAGCCTAGGCTACATAATGAATCCCTCTGGTAAAGAAACTCCCCCAAAAAGAAAAAAAGAAAAAGATGTTGGATTTCATCAAAGCCTGTTCACATCTATTGAGATGTGTGGTTTTCTCATTTTTAGCTTACAAATGTGGTTAACTCACTTCAATTTTTAAATGTTCAACCCATCTTGCACTCCTGATGAATCTGCTGTGATCATATCATTAGATTTACACCAGGGACGTAGCTCAGTAGAAAGCCCAAGGTCCTGAGTTCAAGCCCCACTACTAAAAAGGAAGAAACATTATCAGGTTTACTTTTTACTGGTAGCAACCTGAGAAACCTGTGCTTGAGATTTCCCAGCTGGGCTGACGCGGATGCTCCCGTGGTTCTCTGGGCATCTGCCCAGTGCGAGTGTGGCTGCTGGCCTCAGAAAGCCCGAGACGCACTCTTCCCGGGGGTGGGGGGCAGCCGGAAGCATCCATGCTGCTCTTTCTCAGGTTTTTGGCAGAATTCGCTAAGGAAACCACAGGGCTCCTCCGTCCTGCTGGGAGGTTTCTGGCTGCAGAACCTCTGCGCCCTCGGAGGCAGGGCCATGGTCACCGCCCCTCCCCACTGAGCCCATCCCGGCTCTCCAGGGACTCCAATGGAGGTGCATGCTCCCGCCTTCCTCGCCTGTCCTGGGCCACTTCCGGTCCCTGTTGCCAGGTGTCATTGGCCCAGTCCCCTAGTAGCAGAGACACCTGGAGCACAGGCGACAGGCTCACCAGAAGCCACCTCGCCTCATCCCTGACCCCAACCACCTCCTCTCTTCCCCTCCACGGCACCATCACCCTGCCTGGGTTCCCAGTCAGGGATAGCAGTGCACACGGAAACCAGACACTGTACCTGACGCACACCAGTGCTTTACTCTCCCAGGCAGATGTCGAGAGGTGTCGTCCAGGGCTGGTGTGAACACTACTGGTCACAATCTGGCTGCTGAAGCTCAACCACATTTGTGTTCCAGGTAAGGGGGGAAAGGAGGTGGTGAAAGGGGTGAGCACGCGCTGTTCCCGTTAAGGAGCTTTCCAGGAGTCCACTTCAGGTAGTGTCGCCCGTCTCCCCCCCAGCCTGTCTCCTGGGAGCTGGCCCAGCCCACTCTGTCCCCAGCACATCCCTCTGTCCCTAGAGTGAGCTCCCAGCAGGAGCTGGGGCACCTTCTCTAACCAGAGCCGAGTGATCTCATTTCACAGATGGGGAGACTGAGTCCCCCAAAAGGACCTCCTGGGGTCACACACAAAGTGAGAGGCCATGCTGGGCAGACACGCAGAGAGGGAGGGTGACAGGAGATCACAGGCTACCAGGTCACCTTGGGGCAAGTGGCTCGCGTGTGCTCCTCACAGCCAGCGTCTCACACTTGCCCTGGGCCGGGCACATGCGTGAGCATGCACAGATGTGCTGCACACACGGACAAATGCGTGCTCCTTTGAGAAGTGGCCACAGTGCCCAGCAGCACCATGACAGCCGGAAGGGGCCTGGCCAGCAGGGGAGCCGGGGCTGCAGGCCTCCGGGACAATGGCCAGGCCTGTTCCTGATGGGGAAGCTGGGACAGAGGGGCCCACCCTGCACCTGGGAAGACCTGGGAGGAGGCCCTGGGTCTGTAGTGGCCCAAGCACCTGCAGTCTCCTGTCTGCATGGCCGAGAGGTGTGGTGCAGCCTGGGCCAGAGCTGCGGGGTTGGGAAAGGCCAGCTGCAGGACACTACTCACAATGGCACCAGGGACCAGGTCCGCTGTGCCAGCCCTGAGGCCCGGGGCACCCTCTGGCCTCTCCCTGCTGCCCTGAATGCACAGCTCCTCTCAGGGGATACCATACACAGAGCTGTGTGGCCGCGGACCGGGAACTCTACTCCCAGAGCCCAGCTGGGGACAGGGTGGGCACAGGCCGCGCTGCGCAGACACAGGAACCCTAACCCCGTGTGCGCTGAGTGGGCCGACCTCCCTTCCCGGCAGAAGACTTGCAGCTCTGTTCTTGGAAGTCACTTTCTCCTTCTGGCTGTGCAGGGAACACTGCTCCCCCTCTCCGCCCGAGTCCTGGCCCTGGGCCTGGTGCTGACGCGGCTGCCTGCCCCGGGGATGTGCCGGGCACCAGCCTGGGGCCTGGCCTCGCAGGCTCACCCTGGGGTCCTGGCACAGGCTGGGGGGAGTGCAGGGAGCCTGGGAGGGGGCTCCTCATTCTGTCACTGTGCCCACTGCCCGGTGCAGGGCTCCCCACAGCTTCCTCTCTGAAAGCAGGCACCCGCCTCACACAGGCCAAGGCAGGAAGCGTCCAGCCAGGCTTCTTGGGCACACAGGCAAGGGCTGGCACATGGGTCACCGGCGCCACCTTCACCCCCGCTGGTCCCAACGTCAGGGGAGAAAGGCCTGGGACTGGAAGGGACTGAGCGCCTGCGGGGAGGCGACAGTCAGGACACAGCAGCCAGCACCCCAAGCCCACGGGAGCTGCCTGCCCAGCGCAGGCTTTGTCCTCCCTCTTTGCGCCACACGAGGGTCCTGTGCCTCGGAGCCAGGGCCACCACCAGGGATGAGTGGGCTGCAAGTGTCTAGAAAGTCACTGCACCAAGGACTTGGGCAGCCACCTGCACGCTCCGCCTCTACCTGGGGAGAACTGGTGGCAGCAGCACCAGGTGCAAACACGGTCATGGCGGGGTGGCAGGCTGCGCCCATCACGTGGGGTCAGGAGGGAGGCAGTGCTAGGCTCGCTCCCTCCCGCCCTGCTGTCCCCCCACAGTGACCTGGGAGACTCCGCCCATGCAGAGCCTCTCCCCACTTCCTGCCCAGTCCGGAAGCGGCAAGGAGTAACCAGGCTGCTCTGGAAGCTGCTTTGGCACTGCAGGACGGGCCAGGCCGCACCTGCCAGCAGCTGTGCTGTTCCGTGTGCACCACCGCCACCCTCTCGGATGGGGGACAAGGCCTAGCACAGCGGGGGGCCTGGGTCTAAGGCTCCTGGCAGGAAAGGGGTTGCAGGCTGGGAAAGGTGTGGCTGAGTGCAGAGCACGGAGCGGGAGTCTCCACTGGACATGCAGCCCGGGGATGACTTAGTCACAGAGTGGCTGCCGCTGGTGCCCAGGTTTGGCTCAAACCAAGGGTTCCCATCAGCTCCGGCCAAGGTGCAGGAGTGGCAGCCACTCAGGGAAGCGCGTGGTCACGTTCGGTGATCTCGGTGCTAGCAGGGTGCAGGGATGTCACACCAGGGCCCCCCTCCTGCCTGCCATCACCGCCCCGTGCCCGCCGGTCATCTGAGCATTCTCCCCTATTTAGTCTCCCCGTCTCCTGCTGATTTGTGGCCCAGGAGCACCGGCTATGGGGCACCCACACTCACACCTCCACCTGCCCGCCTCTCCTTCCTGTCCCGGGGGCCACTGGTGGCTGCTGGGAATCCTGTTCGAGTCAAGCTTGCCGGCCTTGACCTTCTGACCAGACTCGGGTCCTGGAGAGGACACTGCTGTTCCCACTGAGTTACAGCTTTACTGTTCATGTTCAGATCCCCAAGGACCTGGGATTGACTCGGGGCGCAAGTAAACCAAGGATCCAGGTCGCCTGCCCCTAAGGACGCCCAGCTGCTCTGACTCTGGCCAGGCCACTCTCCCCGTCATCGGCTCCAGGATGGAGGGGTCATTAGGCTGACCTGTCCCTTGGGCCACGCTGTCCTGTGACCCGGCCTCCTTTCCCCACCTCGCAGCCCAGCCAGCATGCTCACTTCCTCTGGCTCTCACCACCCCTGTGAGGACCAGATCTCTCCTCCAGCACCATGCAGGGAGGCATCTGCTGGGGAGATAACCTGCAAGTCACACTGCTCCAAGGCGGGTCCCACAGGCTGGATTCCTGCTTCCCACAGGCTGCCAGGCAGCCACCGACATCCCCCGGGGCTGTCAGCCCTCTGGGAGAGCTGCCCCTGCCCGGGACCAGCAGTGAGGTCGTGTGGGGGGAGCCGGGCAGCCCCATAGAGGAAGCTACACAGCCAACCACGCCGGCCTCAGAGATGGGGACCATGTGTCATGTGCAGTCTCTGCCTAAGGTCCCGGAGTCTCCAGCGGGCAGGAGAGAACCTTGGGGAGCGGCCTCCAAAATCACCACAGTACCCAGAGCAGTGAGAAGGGCTGAGCCACCTGCAGGGACAGGTGTGAGTGCCTGCTGGCCACCCAAGGGGAGAATGGGGAACTGAGTCCTCAGGCCAGCTGCACCACACTGAGCTCGGGGTGACGGAAGGCGCTCCGCACCCACATTAGGCCCAACATGAGCTGCACGGGACAGGGCCGGCACCCGGCATGCACGTCCAGGGCAGAGAATGTGATGATCCGGCCAGCAGCAGGGCGTTGTGATCTAGAGTCACTGTCCACTCTGGGCCTGCACTGCCCAGGGAGCTGTGGCCCCGGGGAGCCCCCATGGGAGAGGGGACAGGTATGAGCTGGGCAGGGCTGTGGGTGACCATCCCACACCAGGCCTGCCCCGTCCCAACAAGGAACCAGACACCACGTGTAGGGCCCCGTCAGGAGGACAGACACGCAGGACGGGGCAGGGCCATGCCTGTCCCAGGCTCCAGGGGGCTGTGCTGGCTCTGGGGCGGGTGGGGCTGGCAGAGCTGCGAGGCCCCCTTCCCAGGACCTGCTTCCCACCCGAGTGGCTGATGAGGGGCGGCATCTGCAGGGTGCCCTGTCACCGAGAGCTAGACTCAGCAGTCCCCGTGGGCTCCAGGCTGCCCTGCTCCCCACACATCCATCTTCCTCCCCGCTGCCACCTGCGAACGGGCTGACAGCAGAGGGTTGAGCCCGTGACAAAACCCCTTACAACCAAGCACACGGGTGTGTGGTGCCACACACGACCCCATGTGCTCATAGGTGAACTTACACCAATGCACAAGCAGGCACGCCGGGATGGCAGGAGGACGGATGGGCAGGGGATGGCTGGGGGGACAAATGGACGAGTGGAAGGCCAGTCGGGTGACCGGGTGGGTGGGTGGCTGCCTCTGGAAGGGCAGAAGGACGAACAGGAGGGCCCTAGGCAGATGGAAGGTTAAACGGACAACGGAGCAGCAAGCTAGCAGTTGGGCACACGGTGGGCAGGGCGAGGAGTAAATCGGCACCGAGGAAGCTGCCGTGTTGCTGGTGGATTTGGAAGGCACAGTGCACAGCCCAACGTGGAGCTGACGTGGCAGCAGAGTGGCCAGCAGGGAGTGGACTCCTGCAGCCCCATGCAGAAGCCCGCCGGGCCACGTCCGGCCTGATGTGGGGCCCTCCTGCTCTCGGGACCCTCACCTGGCATGACCAAGTCCACGTAGTGTCTCGAACGCAGAACAGGCTGAGAGCCCCGCGTCCTCACCTCTGTCCTACAGCTGTCTCCAAGGCTCCGTTTCTCTGACTGCTGTCCACAGGAGTCTGCAAACCACTTTTTCTGAGACAGCTTCTTCCCAAGTTGCACGGGCTGGCCTTGAACCTGCAGTCCTCCTGCCTCAGTCTCCCAAGGACCCGGGATCACAGGCGTGCCCCGTACCGCTCTTGGGCTTTGCTGCCTATTTACTGACAGTGCTAACTGAAGGACACTTATTTTTGATTTTCCAGTACAGTGGCTCCTCAGTTCATGAACTTAATTCTGTGACCAGCACAGTGGAAAAACTAAGTTCGTGAACCGAGTAGCACTTTTGCCTTGTGCCTGGGGCTCCTAGGGTCTGTGGTCCCGTGACTGACCATGCGGGACTGTCCATCCTCCCCCTTGCACCAACCTCCCCTAGCACCCGCCTCCAGGGTCAGCCCGACACCCAGGGTCTCGGGTGCACCCCACTGCACCCTCCTACTGCTCCTCAGGACCTAGACCCCAGCAGCCCATTTCAACCCCCTATATGCCCTAGAATGGAGAGGGGAAAGAAACAGAAAGGAGGGAAGGCAGGAGGGAAGACTGTCCAGAGCCCTGGGCTGTGCTGCTCCAGCAGGAGCCCCTCTCAGATGCAGCATTCTTGGCGGGTTGGGCACTGCCAGCCCCTGCAAGGGACTCCTCTGTCTTCCTGCTGTTTCCCACAGGAGGGCCAGGCTGGCTGCTTGGAGTTGGCCCTGCTTCTGGGAAAGCATGGCTCCACCCCAGCTCTGTGGGCCCAGCAGGCAGGAGGCTGGCACGGACACACGCTGTCAGGTGCCGCCTGCCACTGGCTGCGCTGAAGAGTGCACACCCCGCTGTCTCGGGGAGCCCCCCTCACTGCAGAGGGTCCCTGTGGGTCCAGGGCAGAGGCACAGATGGGAGGGACGAGCCAGCCAGGCGGCAGCTGCTTCCCTTTGGAGCCCAGGGCACATGGCTGCTGTGCTCCTGAGCCAGATGGCTCCACACCCCCAGCCCCGGCGCCCGCTTCCCGCCCGCCAGGAAAGCGCACACACAGCACTTGGCTGGCGTCCCTGGCCCTGCCGGGTCACGAGGGGCCCCAGCACGCACACAGCCAGAACCCAAGGCTAAACTAGGTCAAATGGGTGTGGAGGTGGCGCCGCCCACTGGCTGCAAGGCCCGCTGGCTCTGAGCAAGGTCTCGCCTCTGCCTGCTTGGCAGCGGCTTTGCTCTTAGCTCCTCGGGGCTCTGCCAGGTTCCTGAAGAGCGGGAGCACCGATTCCCGGGAAGTAGGGGTTGGACGGAGACCCCTCTGCTTCAGCCTCTGCTGCTAGAACTGCCCAGGCAAGGAGCCCCAGCCCCTGCTCACAGGGAGGGCGTGGCCAGCACCAGCCCTTCCTCCAGCTCATCCTGTCCTTTGGCCAGGCTCCGGCTCGGATGCTGCAGGTCAGCGTGGCTTGAGGAGGGGACTTGCTGCCCCTGACCCCCATCTGTGACAGGCAGCCAGGCCCAGCTCTCCGTGGCATCTTGGCCTCCCTGGGGAGCACTCACCACCCCACATGGCTGCTCCAAACCCTAAAGCATGGGAGCAGGAGCCGGGACTGACGGCCACAGCCGACGTCACCAGCAGTAGGGACAAAGTGAACCTGCAATCCCAACGCTGGGATTCTCCCTAGGCTCCCTCACTAGGAACTGGTGCACGGCGGGCAAGAGCAACAGACGGACATGGGGACAGCCCTGCACGGTGCTGGGAGCCTCAGCTCCAGGGCCCCTGGGGCTCAGGCCCCCATCTCCTGCAAGCTGGACACCAGCGCACTTGGAGAGGCTGGCAGCCTGGACCTATGGCAGCCCTGTGAGAAGGCGACCCAGTTCCGTCCCCCATAACCCGTCCTCAGGGACTAAATACCAGGGGCATGGGCTGCTCCTGAAGGCATCGCCTGGATGAGTCAGGCAGCAAGATACAGGCCTGCAGCTCCCAGGACAGGTCCTTCCCGTGTGAGGTGGCCGAGGGCCCAGGTATGGTGGGTCACAGGGCCCGCTCCATCTCTCTGCTGGGGCTCCCACATCACAGGCCTCCTGGCTGCTCCCGAAAGGCCACCCTGTACCAGGTGTCCCTGGAGGACAGCAGTGGCCAGGTGGGAGTCAAGAATCCCAGGGTGGTGGCCTCCCCACAGGGCCATCTGGGGACCCTGGAGCCCTGCTCAGAGCCAGGAGCTCACGGAACCTCCTGCGAGCTGATCCTCCTCCCCAAGGGACATGGAGCCCGCCCTTGTCAGGCACAGACGTAGACGTGCAGGGAGGCCCCAGGACGAGGCGGCAGAGTGTCAAGCGCATGCGACGACCTCAAGTGGAAATGCACAGGGCTTCTTTCTGGAAGTCAACAACCAGCACAGCTCGGGGCCGAGTCGCCAGGGAGGAGGCAGCCTGGAGCTCAGTCTGGGCCCACAGTGACCAGGTGCGGGGCTGCAGCTCTGGCCTGCTCTCTGGGCCTCACTGTCATGGCAGGGCCCAGGAGAATGGTGCCCGGCAGGCCCGGAGGGTGCTCTGTTCCAGGTCCCCTCGGGAAACGCGCTGAGCCGCGCCGCCCACACCAAGAGGCCACTCCCACGGCACGTGCTTCCTGCACGGGGAGGCCAGCGACCTCGGGAGGGCCTGGCTCTGCGGAAGGCGGCTCACGGTGCCTGCCTCTTCTTGTGGGGCCGGGGCGGGCGCAGCTCCTGGGGCCCATGGGCAAACGGGCAGCTGGTGGAAGGAAGCACGCAGCCATCGGGGTGGTGCGTGAAGAACCAGCAGATTCGGGTCTTGAAGGCCTCCGAACGTGGTCCGCACTTGGCTTCTGAGCACCCCGTCCTCTGCAGCTCCCGCCTCCAGTCCCGGATGTGGACACGGCCGTCCAGAACTGCGACGAGGACAAGCACAGAGGGCCACAATGTTACCCCAGACACCCGTGCGCTCTCGGGGCTCCGGCACGCACCCACGGCCTGGGGACTGGGGCCTTTCTCGTGCTGTGGAGCCAACAGTGCCCTGTAAAGGTGGCCACGGCAATCAAGCCCGGAGGTCTCCCCACAGCTGTCTCCCGGCCTTGGCCCTATCCACAGGCAGGTGCAGGGTGAGGGCCTCGCCGTGACAGTCCCTGGTGGCCACTGTGCCCTCAGAGCAGCAGGTCAGCACCGTCTTTCCCCTTGAAATAGACAGGAGCCAGGCAGGCGCCTCCCGTCCGAGGGACAGCGGCAAGATCTGTCTGCAGGGACCTGGGCCCTCCACAGCGCCTCACTGCAAACCAGAGCCTATTCCCCGGCCTGACCCGGTCAGGCAGCCGCAGGTCACTCTGCTGGATGCACTCACAGCAAGACCAGGGCCCAACCCACCCGTGTTCTGGGAGGGCCACGGGGTCAAGCACACACACCAGAGCCACATGGGCAGGGCCAGCCTGGGGCCTCCCCCAGGGCCGTGGTGGCAGCAGGCCCTCCACAGATTCGGGAGCCAGACCCCCGAGGGAGCCCCTGGAGTAGCCTGCAGGACCGGGGAATAGGGCCTGGGGGGTCCTTGAAGCCTAGCACGAAAGACAGGACAGGGGCCCCGGAGAGGGCAGCAGCAGGAGCCCAGGCAGCACTGCCAACGCTCCTGCCTACACGCCAGGGTGCAGGGCAGCTCTGACAGCCCCTCCTAATACTCAACACCCTGGGCAGAGGTACCAGGTGCCATAGGGGTGGACCTCGGGCCCATGGCGGCCAGCTCCGGCCAGACCACTGTCAGGCTCTGCTCCGGTGCCAGTGTGTGCCTGATCTGAAACGGGTCGTGGGGACAGCCCGTGAGCTGCCCGGCTCACTGCTAGCGTGCTCCTCATGGAAGCACCTCAGACGCCGGCATCCCCAACACCCCAGGAGTGCAGGCCTGGGGCTGTCGCCGCCTCTCCACCATCCCTGCAGTGTTGCAGGAAGCCTTGTCCTGCCCCACCCCGAAGGTCCCCTGAGGGTAGCCGCACTGGTTTAGGACACAAACCCGACCCTCACCGAGTGGAGCCCTGCTTCACCCATGCGTGCTTTCGGCACACTGGAGGGAGCTGTCTCCTTGGTGCTCACCCCCGCCCACTCACCAGTGGCCCCAAGACACTCCGCCCCACGCTGCAGAGGGCGGCGCACACATGTTTATCTATAAGGACAACGGATGCTCTCGCGAAATCAGAGACCAAAATGTGCTGGCAAAACAGAAAGAAGAGCGCTCCCTCCGGCTGCAGCAAACGCTTTAACTGATTAGAGCTTTGTAGAAGAAGAGCAGATTGCAGGCCCGGACGCCCAGCACAGCACCGGAGAGGCCGGGACATGGGGCGCACACCCGCGCTCCCGTGCACACTTACTCTCACACACGCGGGGAGGGCAGGGAAGGGGCACAGGCAGGGCTCTAATCCCCAGGTCTAGGGCCCGTGGGCTGAGGTGCAGAGCTGCACCTCCATCACCATGTGTCCCCATCTGACTCCCTGGGGTGGCCTGGCCACCGCCCAGCGCAGGGCAGAGGCAGCGGGGGCCCTGCTGTCTCGCACGAGTGGGGCCGGTAGACAGCACTTCCCCTTTCCACCATGGTACACAGACACAAGTCCTGGGGCGACCACCCCTCCCTCACTGGGGCTCTGTCATCCTCCGCACTGCAGCAGCACCCCAGCCCCTAGGCGGGGGACACTTCGCAGGTTCACCCTGGCCCGTTCTGCAGGCCAAGTGTCACTGCTCAGGACGCACCTGCCTGCATGTGGGGCCTCGGCTCAGGGAGACATCACTGCTGCAGACGCCTGGAAGTAACTGGTACACTCAGTGGTTGGTTAATACTCCCCCAAGCAAAGGGAAAGGAGCTTCAGGAAGTGAGCACAGCACACCGGAGGGCGCAAGGGAGGAGATGTGGACCCCAGAATTCCTTCCACTTGGGGCAAAGCTCACAAAATCGCCTGTCACTCTGGGGACTGGGCAGACACTGTGACTACCCAGGGCACAGTCCCTCGGCCCACATGCAGCTCTGGAACCTGGGGCACTGGTACAGGCAGAGCCCAGCCCCTCTCCACTGCGCAGACTCGCCAGCCTCACACTGCGGGTCGGGCCAGCACCCCAGCTCCACACTCACACAGCCGGGAGAGCTCTTGGGCCACAGGCCTGCCGACCGGCTGGTGTGAGGACAGCAGATACACATCGGCCTCCAGATCGGGGCAGGGGGGCCAGGCGTGGGCTGGTCCAGGGGCTGAGTCCACAAGGGCAGAGTGGCCACCGTCCCACCCCGAGGGGACTGCGTCCACGTCCAGCTTGTGAAGGTCTCAACTCCCTGCAAACAAGCCGCTTTGCTGCACAGCAGGGCAGAGAGGCCCACAGAGACCCTCACCTTTGAACACCTGGTGGCTGTTGCGCAGCAGCGTCTGCAGGCCTCCACACTCGCTCTTCAGCCTCCGCAGGGTCGCCCTGTCCAGCTGCTGTGCCACTTCTGCCAAAGACAGGCTCTCTGTTGGGAGGGTCACACACCCGTGAGCAGGCAGCTCCACCAGACCCACAAAGCCCAGCTGGCCTCCTGGTTCTGCAACGCCAATCCCTCGCGGGCTTGGCAGGCGGCCCCGGCATCTCGAACGGATCCACGCTCACAACGGGACAAGGGCAGCGTCACCCAGGCGGGAGGTGCCGTGCGGCTGGGCACTGCCCACGAGGGGACGGCAGCTGTTCCGGGCAGCCAGCGTGGCAGGCGTGAGGGGTGACAGGACTGTGGCTGCCCAGGGACGGTCTCCACCACTGGCGACTTCTGTTTCTGGAACCTGCGTTTCCTGCAAGCTCCCTAATCAGAGAGCCCGGTGGCAGTGAGGTCAGTTTATTACCAATCGCCAACAAATGTGAGACCAGGGTAGCCTCCCTGTGGGCATCTGGAAAGAGCCTCCTGCTGGCAGGCAGAGCACCTCATACCTCACCTGCACCCTCCCACTGGACACAGGCACACCTGGACCAGAGCCCAGCAGCTTCACTTGTGCTCACCTGTCCTGAGGCAGGGACCCTTCCTGCTGCCTCTAAGCAGTTCCCGCTCAGGGAGATGCCCAGGTCCAAGATGCCAAGGTCCCGTGCCTGCGGGCAGGCAGGTGGGGTGGCGAGGACAGGAAGTCCAACAGCCCCAGGCCCTAGAGGCCACTGCATCCCAGGGGAGCGGGCTCTTCCAGCCCAAGGCAGTGGAAACCTGCAGGCATGCCGGGGACAGGCACCCCTCAGAGCCACCTCTGTCCGGGGTCTGCTCATGGAAGGGCTTCCTGTCCCCAGCAGGGGCCAGCATCTTCCCACCATCACTGCCATGGACAGGAAGTCAAAGTGCACAGAACTCTTGTGCATCAGGGTTGCAGACCCACAGCGGCCCAGCACCCAGCCAGATTCCACCAGACTGGGTGGCTGGTCTGCAGTCACACTGCTGCCTTTATCCTGGATGCGGTCAGGTCTGGGTTATCTCTGGAGGGAGCATGTGCAGTGGTTCTGTCCTCACGTGTGCCTGAGGGAGAAGGGACCACTGCCCAAGCTGCCTACGCTGTCCCAGGAAAGGGCAGAGGGATGGGCTCCTCGCTGTCCTCTGGGTCCCCAAACTGCAGGAGCAGGTCTGTGAGGCACCACTCCCCAGATGGTCCCACACCGCCCTCTGGCGGCCAAACCCGAGACTCCAGTGTCCTGCCCAGAAGTGGCCCAGCTCCTTGGGGAGGCGGGAAGGCTTTAAAGAACTGAAGTCAACTTTTTAGTAAGTGTAACAGTGTAAGAGCAGCTTGTCCTTCAGCCCCGTCACTCTTTAATGCTACTAATCACCCATGAGAACAATACAAATGTTCCCTTATCAAAATGGATTCTAGTATTTTAGGGCTTTCAGGAAGAACTGTATTATCAAATCAAACTTCCAAACTCCGGCCACACATTGGATGGAAAGGGCATTTTCCAGGCACTGACAAATACGTTTTCTGGCTGCGTGATTTCTAGACTGAAAATAAACCGCCCTGGCTGCTGCCCTTGTGAGGGGGATTAGGAGCCCCGCCGTGGCTGCCTCCCTGGGCATCAAGTCCCTCATGCTAATCTCCCAGGCACCAACCGGGGCTTCTCCAGCACAGGTGGCCACAAAGGACACATGATGCGCCGGCTGGTGACAGAACCAGGCACGGCCAGGCCACCGGGCAGCCTACCTCCTCCATTGCAGGTCCTGCAAGTCCCCTCCTGAGGACCTCCTGTGAGTGACTTCTTTCTGCTTAACAACAAGTTTGCTACTTGCAAAACCACCTGGTTGATGAAGTCTCGAGGGAGGGCGGCACAGTTCCTCACAGGCACAGCCTTTTCCCGAGCATGGAAGGTGGGCAGCCAGAGTCCCTCGGCCCGGGCCTCCGAGACCTCCAGGTCACACCGAACCCCGGTGCCCACTGCTCTGCTGCCATCCGGGTGAGCGGCACTGCAGGCAGAGACCTGGGGTACAGGACAGGGGGCGTCCCCGCCAGCCAGCCCCTGCCGGCTGCGAATGTACTGCGTCCTCCACTCATCCATGCCCACTTCTGCGCCAGGCAGGTAGGTCCTGGATTTCCCGATGAGGCAGACCTGTGTTCACACAGAGCAGGTGTCTTAGCCGGCTCCTGCGCTATGCCAGCGTGCTCCCTGGGCATCTCCTGCTCTGCAGTGCAGATCATACAGAAGTTACAGACATCTGCTACCAAAAAACAGGCTTTTACCCCAGGACTGGGATGGAGCCCAGGGCCTGGCGCCTGGAGCGAGACACCCCTGCAGCCCCAAGACAGCGGCCTCATCACCCAGGCCCTTGTGCTCTCCCGGGGTGTCCACACCACTGAGCTCCGTGCTGCTCACTGCCACACACAGCCCTGGTGCCCACCTGGCTGGCCGCACGCCACGCTGGGGTAGCACACACGAGGAAGCCTGCTAGGGCACAGACTCCACACAACCCAGCCGCCTGCGGGGTGCTTGGTACAGAGTGGGGTCATGCATGGGAACCACCTCACATGTCCCCAGTGCCGCTGCTGGGGGCCTCCTTCTGCACCCCATCTGGCATCTGCCGAAGAGCAGGGAGCGGGTGATCAAACAAGGCCGATCGGCATCAGAGGCACTGAGACCCGCCCTGCCACCTGCTCTGTGGCCTCAGTTTCTCTGTGTCAGGAGCAGCCTAGCACCTGGCAATGTGTGCTTGGCTCCAGCAGATGTCTGCTGAGAGTTCTCGCTCATGCCCAAGCCATCCAGATGTGAAGGTGCCCAACGCCAGGCAAAAGAGCGAGGCTAGAGGCGATCCTGCACCCAGCCCTCAGCTCTCCCTCATCACCACCACCCGCGCCCGCACCCGCTTGGTAGATGGGATCCGAAGGCAGTCCTCCTCCACATGGAAGCCGCAGGCCTCGCCCACCTCCTGGATGAAGTCCAGGTACTCTCGGTACTGCGTCTTCCTGCTCTGCCTGCGGCAGTACCTGCCGGCGAAGTCAAAGAAGCAGCAGGGCAGCACAAAGAACCGGCAGTGGTAGGAAGACCTGCAGAGTCCGAGCAGACACACAGGCTGGAGCGGCGGCAGGGCGCATGGCACAGGCGCCGGGCAACGTGGGGACCCCTGCTCCTGCTCCATGTTTGCTACACGGAAAACGAATCTCAGCCTCCCCGGCTTAATCTGCAAGAGCAATGCAGCACAGTGTGTCCTTTCAATAACATGAACCTAATTACGCACAAAACATAAACTCCAACACAGTTACCCTTGTAAACTGTGATACGCATTTTCTGAAGCAGTCTGAGATTTGTTAGGGAAATAGAAACTCAGAGGAGGTGCAGTGAGGGCCAGCCACATTCGAAAGCAAAACAGATGGGATTTCATTTGCGCTTAACTCGCATCTACCCAAAAAACACCACTTCCACGGTCTGAACTTGCCACACTGCTAGTGCTCCGCAACACACCGTCAGGGCTCCCGTCCTGACAGCGTGCATGACGCACGAGACACCCCACTCTCTCCAGGCTCCCCCTCTCCTCACCGGGCCGCAATGACAGGGATCCAGGGCGTGAGCTCGTCAGAGTGGTTCCCGATCAGCCAGTCCGCGGCAGGGAAGAGGGTCCGGTCGCTCGGGGCGATGGCACCCTCCTGAGAGAGTGGCACAAAGTGAGACAAGAGCACAAGCCTAGGAAGGGCCACTTGGCCAGGAGCAAGGAGGCAGCAGTGTCTGAGGGCCAACCCTGGGGCAACTCTGGCCTATCTGTCACACACCTCCTGTGCTGGTGAGAAATGTGCTGCCTCGTGAACTCAGAAGGGACCTTTGCGAGAATGGAAGTGTGACCTGTCACCCTGTGGCAGAATACAGAAGGAACAAGTGGCCGGCCCGAAGGCCCCTCTCGGGACTGCCCCAGGGCCCTGCCTACTCTTCTCGGGTGGAGCCAGCTTCGGGAGGGGAAGGAAGGCCGGAAGTCGCTCACTCAGTAAGAATGCTGCGTCTGCCTGGCGCTGTCACCCTTTCTGATGCTGTGGCCCGGCAGCTCCCAGAGTGCAGAGCCAAGAAGCCACACCAGCCATACCCATGCCCCAGGTGCAGGAGCCCAAATGGAGGGCAGTGAGGCTCATTTTCTCACTATCACAGCCTTCTGCAGACACAATGTAGGCAAAAGAGAATGGAAATTCTACTAATGGCACGACATGATCCATGGTGCGGACAGTAAATGACAGAGTGTAACACAGTCTGACCAGTTAAGGATATAACCTACAGCTGGAAAAATAAACCTCGATTCCCATTCATTCTAGATTTAAATATGCCCTTGTGTCCTTTTGTTGCTTCAATTAATCAGGACACAACTTACACTCAAGGAACCGCCACAGTCACACTGCAGCCCCCTGGGCCCAGGCCCTGGGAACACAGTTGCGCCCCTCACAGAAAGTTTAACTGACACTGTGGGTGACAAATGAAACATTCCCACTTTGTGTAGGGCTCACAGGAGTAAGATAATTTGCAATCATCACAATGCTGCTGTTATAAACAGCCATTTTTTTCTTAACACCTTCTTGCTTACGATCAACTGAGGCTTTTCAAAGAGAGATTTGTGAAAGGTAAGTTGCATGCCATGACCGACCTCTGAGGTTCTAGACTACCTGCATGTGGAAACCACTAACTACATCAGGGGGACCCTTTACTGGGACACCCAGACACTGTGTACTTGCCGACAAAACCACCCTCCCGTGACAGTGGTCCTCAGGGCAGAAAGCACCACCAAAGCCCACATCCCTGACATCTGAGTAGGTGATGCGGCACTGAGACCAGAAGCTAACTGGGGCTTGGCCGGGCTCCCACAGGCCAGAGAAGAGCCGCGGCACCACGGGCAGCAAAGCCCATGCCAGAACCCCGTGCCATACCCAAGGCACCGCACTCAGCCAGCTCTGTCCGTGCCTTGTGAACTAAGCAGGGGCCACACGGTCACAGCCTGAGCTTTCACCCAGGGAACCTGAAATCAGTCGTAACACTCCTGCTCTGATCACCCACCTCACAGCCCAGGTCAGAGCCCAACCTTGCCAGGTCCGTAAGCAACCACTCTGCAGACACCTGCAGCCTCCCTGGCACACCTGTCGGGTCACCCGCACTTCACACCTGAATCTAATTTACATTCACTGTGATACCTGAATGTACAAGCAATTATAGATCAGAATGCAGCAGAGCATAATGAAAAAATAAATACAAGGAAATGCAAGGCCGCTACAGCAAGCTTCCCTTCCTTGAATCTTTTTCCTTTTTTGCAATATCATTCTCAGCTTTAAAAGGTGAGGCAACAGAAACTACAAAAATAGTCTCAAAGGTTTAGGGTCAGGGATTTTGCTCAGTGGTCCCACCACCTGCCTGGAAAGCACAAGGTCCCAAATTTGATCCCTGGTACCAAAAAAAAAAAAAAAAAAAAAAAAAAAGTTTTATTTTCTATCTACAGATGAAAACATTGGCTCTTTCTTTCAAAATCCAGTCAGTGACGGTGGGGGAGGAGGCATGGCCGCGGCTGGCTGCTTGGGACCTAGCCCATCTGCCCCTCCACCTTCCGCTCACCAAGGTCAGCCAACACGCTGACCGCATCACCCCCACACTTCAGCGGATGCACAGAGGTCTGGAGGCAAGCCCCGCAGCTGTGCTCACAGCGCCACCCAGAGGGAGGGAGGCCAGCCGGAACCAGTTCCTGCAGCTGGAATTTCTGCACAGGCCACCCATCCAGACAGTATGCAATGCACACTCGGCACAGGCTCTGCCCCAGCAGCACCCGGCAGCCCGCACAGAGCACGAATGTGCGCCACAAGCTCCAGGGTGTAGAGGCCAGGGTGACCAGGTGCTGTGGGAAGCCTCGTTTCCCTGTCTAACTTCCGTCCTCAGACCAGCTGCATGTGCAGGGAGAGCGAGCGGTGTTGACTACAGACAGGCACTTCAACAGGTCCACGCACAGCAATGCCGGTACCTCGAGCTGCGTGTGGGGTCCATACATGTCCCAGATTTTCCTTCTTCGCACATCGATCCCTCTACCTGGATGCTGAAATAATAGTCCAGGGGGCACAGGTTAAACCCAGAGCATCACCATGAAGCAGCAGTCCACCGCCAGCAGGGGGCGCAGAAGACCCTGGCATTTGCAGGTGGTACAGTGCAGTCTCAGCTCTGTGGGGACACTCAGGGCCGGGGGAAGAAACCTGAACCCTGCCAGCAGTCAGGCAAGCCAAGGGCCCACAGTGGCCTTTTCCAGGCCAGCAGCCAGGGAGTCTCATGACAACCACAGGCAGCTCTGTACTCCCCACCTGGGTCAGTTTCTGGGCAACGGGGCCTCCCCTGCTGGCTCTTCCAGGGCACCCCACTTCTCTCCATGCAGGAAGGAGGGGCGCAGCTCATACCGCTCCAGCTCCCACAGTTGTGCGCTCTGCTCCTGCTGCCCAGCAGCCGTCCCTCCCCGAGGGCGAGGCCAAGGGGCCGCACTCACCCCTTCACTGCACAGGATGTGGACCAGGAGGCCGTTCCCACACCCCAAGTCCACAAAGGCCTGTGGGGTGCTCACGCCCCTCTCGGCTCGCTCCTCTTCCCACAGGATCTGTGGAGAGAGAACACATCTGAACTTGAGAACAGCGCCCAGCAGGCATGGGGCCCCTCCCTGCACCCCCGCCAAGGAGAGGCCACATTCACTGCATATCTGTGGGCACGGCTCGGCTCGCTAGATACTCTGATAATCGCAAAGCAGGCTATTTCTAAGCCAACTAAGGGAAACCAGAACTTGTTCAGCCCAAACATCTGATAAATAAGAAAATCAGGCCTACATACTCAGTTAAAGGTCACGGCCAAATCTGATGGGTTGGTGGGCAGCCCCAAGGCCTGGGGCAAACGCTGAGGCCCAGAGTGAGGGCACACGCTCAGTGCTCCTCCTCCTCCTCCTTGGTCGGTTAACTGCAGTCCAGCCCACACTCTTACAGCTTAGCTGCACGACTGAAGCTTGATTTACACGCAGTGCCGTGCGAAAGCGAGACCGTCACACCCTAACCGACCCGGGTGAACACACCACGACCTGGCAAGCTATGGATCTGTGCACGTCCTTCACTAGTGGCCTTGCCCACAGCAGCCCGCACGCACCCCGCGGGATTGTGGACACTGCTTAGGTGCTTACCAGCAGGTACGCAGCAATAGCCACATCTTCGTATACAAACTTTTCAGGGTCAGTTACCTCGGGCCACACCTACAAGGTTTTCAAGAGCACATGTAAGGTGTCACTCCGTTTCCACCACTTCACAAGACTTAAAGCACCCTAAGGAGCGTACCTCCAACTGAAGGGTCCCACAATAAAAACGAAAACTCGAAGCTCCTCCCAAAAGAGCACATTCACAATTGATTTCTTTTTCTTTTGGTACCAGGGATCGAACTCTGGACTTTGTGTTTGGGAGGCAGGCGGCAGAACCACTGAGCCAAATCCCTGGCCCTATAGTTGCTTTGTTATGATGAGATTTACACAGACACACAAAATCACCATGCGACATGTAACAGGACACGTCACACACTGTAACCCAAAACAAGGTTTTGCAATGGAGAACATGTACACAGCTGTTCGGATGAGGCCCTGGACGTGAGAGGAGGTGCTCGTCTACTCTCCCCACACTCATCTGGATACAGACGATGAGCAAGGAAATGAAAGGGTGAGGAAATAAGCCGGCCAGGGACCAGGAGAACAAGGCTCTCAGGGACCGGGGGCCTCTGCCACATGAGACGAAGCCTGGGCCTAAATCACCAATGTGCAGGACGGGCCTGGCAGAGAGGAAAACCCAAGACCAAGGTGAAGTGTAGAGGCTGATTTCCAGCAGAGTGCATGACACAACTTGGACAACCATTGCTCTGAACAACTTAAAAACCCAGAAAAATGTGAGCAGCTTCTTGAAGGTGCTGAGTGGACAGAAGGATGCTAGAAGGCCACTGAGCAGGGGACTGTGGGACACAGAGCCCAGCTGCGGGCAGCCTAGCCCCAGACTCAGGCGCCAGCAGCATGGACGCTCACTGCTTTGAGCTGCGGCGCTCGGGGTGCTCACCACACAGCGGTGACTGATCAAAGGGAACACTGCCATGAAACCTGTTTCCTTTTTGAAGCACAGTGCATCCTCTTGTACTTCAGCTTTCCAGGGCCAGGGATTTAGCCCAGTAGTGCCATGCTGGCCTGTACTTTAGCTTTCCACTTGCTTTCTTTTGTTTTTTGGTTTTTTTGAGACGGTCTCACTTTGTAGTTGAGACTGACCTGGAACTCACTATGTAGCCCAGGCTGGTCTCGAACTCATAGCAATCCTCCTGCCTCAGCCTCCCTAGTGTTGGGATCACAGGTGTGAGCCACCATGCCTGGCTGGTGTGTTTCCTTATAAATCTTCAAATTTGTAACAAAGAATTACAGGTAATTAGTAACTAAAATTCAATATTCAATTACGTTTACTCTTTGAGCTACTGAAAAAAATAACGTCCAAGGAAAAAGAACCAGTCCCCCTCAATGCTGCATCTGAGGCTGCTGCCTGCAACTCTGAGGCTGCTAAAGTGTGGCTGTCAGACTACCACTGAGCAGATGCGTCCGGAGCCCTTGGTGTCTGCATATGAACCGAGTGAGCAGGGCCCAGACTCACAGTCACGTTACCTCACTCAGCAGGACTGCGGGCAGCACTCACCTTAACCATGTCTCTGTACTTCTCCTTGAGCTCCTGGTACAGCACACTGTACCTCTCGATGGAGACGAGGGAGAGGGTGCTTCTGAACTCACTCTTCTTGTGGGCCACGCACCACCGGGCCAGCCTGCCCAGCAGCTCCTCTCCCAGCCAGGCGGGTCGGGGCCAGATAGCTCCGTCCGAATGCCACTTCTCTGGACAGAAAATCAAAACAGATATGAACCTTTAAAAGTAAGAGAAATATGAGTAAGCAGGGCTGGTTTTCATTTTTAGTTTTGTTACCTATTTACCAAAAGATGAGCAGAAGCTATTTATTACAAAATATTTTACTAAAAACCATGAGATGATCTGAGGGCGGTTAAAGACGTGTCCTCCATAGAGAAAAGCACGCAGCCCAGCATGGCGAGGCCCTCTCTAGCGTGGAAACACGCGTTTTGTGCCCATGGCTTTGGCCTGCTCGGCTTCCTCCCAGCCTTGGCAGCGCTGGGTACCCAGGGGCCCTGTCCACCTACGTGTTCCATAAGGAATGAAAGCCTGCAGCCCACGGAGGGCCACAGGGCCCACCCAGATGACAGCGCCCGACGCCAGGCCTGCAGCTTGGGCAGCATGCTGAGGAGAGAGAGCATCAAGTTTCCTGGGACCAAGAAAAAAGGCTACACCCAACGATAGTCCCAAAGAACAACCAAGACAAGGCTGCTGGAGGAACAGCTGGGACCAGCCAGGGACAAGTGTGAGTGGCTGGCTAATCCGAGGAGAGCCAAGACTTGGAGGCTTTCTGCTACCAGGGTACACTAGAGTGACACAACCCAGACCCAGGAGAGTCCAGGGCGTCAGAACCGGGAGGAGCTGGGAAGGCCCTGCTACTTCCTTTGCCTGACTCGGCCCCACTGTGCAGGCGGGCTCTGGACAGGGCTTCCGCTCTCCTCCCCAAGCCTTGGGGTCCTTTCCCCTCCTCCCCAGAGGCCCACAGGCCTGCTCCCCACGCATTCAGGCTTCCCCTTGGATGTCACCTTCCCCACCCGCCTGACAGGTGTCAGGCACAGTGCTGTCATTTCTTGTACGGGTCCCTGGATCAGAGCCGTTTATCTGGGTTTCCTCACCAGCTCTTGCAGGGGCCAGAGCACCTCTTTCCGTCTCCCCCTAAAGACCTACTCAGCCTATATGTCAGTGCCTGGCACAGGCTGGGCACACAAGCCCTGAAGAAAAGGAGCCATCCGATGCCTATCACACCTGTGCCCCACTGGAATGCAGGGCATCCAGCCCACAGGTATGGCTGGTGCCCAAGTGGATACAGTGACAGCCGCCCAGTGGGGTCATACCAGAAGTGCCACCCTGAAAAGTGAAAGGACGGGGCAGCAGCCAGACCCCTGCGGGTTCATCAAGAACATGAGTCCTGAGGCAAATTTGCCCAGAGCACCCATGCAGCCAGGCGCTTGCCTGCTGCCCGAACACACTCCCTCAGGGGTCCTCTTGGAGTTCAGACAGCTCAGGCATGAGCACAAGCCAGGTGTAGCACAGGTGAGCACACCAGGGACTTCAGGCACCATGCAAGTCCTCAACAATTCGGGGTGACTCCTGATGGTTCTAAGGGGCACAGGTCTTAGGAGCTATGCACTTCCCCAGGCTATGAGCCTGCTACAGACCCTTGGGGGCCCATCCTGACCCCTCCTCAGAGGCTTTAACAGCCAGACCCACTTCACAGACAGTCAAGGGGACAGAATGACAGACCGAGACCACGCCACTAGTGGGGGTGCCCAGGATGTCCAACTCTAAAACCCACGCTCTGCCTTTTCACCCCTCTACTCTCTCTGCAGCCAAGTATAGAACACATGATACCCAAGAATGTCTTAGAAGGGACCAGCCAGGCATGGTTCTCAGCATCAGTGGGGGAGCAAGGAGCGGATTCACCCTCACACTGCCTCGCTCATTTAAAAAGAATGAAACAGAACTCAATCAAATGCCACATTCTGTGCACAAGCCCAAACACCACACAGGCTCAAGGCACTGGTTAGATTGCCCTTCCACAAGCATTCCTGTCTCCGTCAGCCTGCTGTCACTGTGACAGTCACCTTCAAGGAAGAAAGGTTTGTTCTGGCTCATGGCTTCAGGGCTTTCAGTCCGTGGTCAGCCGGCTCCATTGCTTCTGGCCTGTCACGGTGAGGCAGAAACATCACAGTGGAAGGGCGTGGTGGAGGAGAGCTGCTCACAGGATGGCCGCCAGGAAGGGGTAGGGGCAAGAGCCGGGGAGGAAGGGGCTGGGACAAACCCAGTGCCCCACTTCCTCCCAACCCATTCAGCTACGAATTCATCCACAGATAATTCACTCAGCGAAGGTAGATCCAGTCATTTTCCAAAAACCCACTGGCACCCAAGCCTTCAACATGGTGAGCCAAATACACACCAGGAAAGGCAGCACCACCCACTCCTCACAGCCACACTGTGAACGTGGAGTTTACTAAGCTCCGTGCACAAACTGGGTGCCCATGCCCATCAAGGCCATGTGGAATGTAGTGGCTTGAGACTCTAGTCAGCCACACTGCAAGTCACACATGGGACCAGCACCAGCGAGCACCAGCAGAGACATCAATGAGGACCCACTCCTGCCATCAGTGGATCGAAACCACACAGCAGGGGGCCAGCAATCAGCTGTCCAGGTCTTACCATTCCACGGGGCTGCGACTGAGTTGAATTTGATACACGTTGCTCATCTTAACCTCTACATTCCCCTCATCATCTTCTTCCAGAGGAAAGAAAGTTACCGTTCCATTGGGGACATCTGGGGGGAAAAAGACAATGATGAGAGATTACAATTGCTTAGCTGGGTGTCTCATCAGGCGGAAGAAAACTAATGAACGTATCAGGAGGCTTCCCTCCTTTGGAGACTGTGCTCCTGAGCATGTGAGGGGAGCACAGAGGGAGCTTTGTGCTTCTTTACCACAACAGCCCAACAACTAGAAAGAGGGAGCCAGCACAAAGCAGCCACTCTCAGCACCATCCACAACAGGAGCTTAGGGAAGACTGAGCCCACGCAGGCCTCTGCCCTGGCTAAGTATCGCCAGATGACCCTATCTTCTGGCATGGGCACCACAGAACACCACTCAGCCACTGGAGAGGCTGGTTCAGGACACTGTACAAGGCTCCAGGCACTCCGAACCCAAGGCCCAGCCTGAGCAGGGTCCTCCTGTCTCGGCATTTCCTGACCCTGCACTCACCGCCTCACCCAAACACTGCAGAGTGACTCATCCTACCGGGAGCTCCCGGCATGACAGTTTGTACAGAAGCTTAGGGTTTGGATGTCTGAAGTTCTACCTCCACAATCAAGGATGGTTCCTTTGGATATAAAAAAAACTAGCAATACCAAAGCCAAAGATGAACACATGCCTCAATTAACAAACAAGTATTCACAATCGAAGTCCACCTTCCACAGAAGGCAAAAAGAACAGTAGTTTGCTACAGCAGCAACAGGAAACTCATTCGCTGCTGGATAAAGTTTGAGGCAGGGAGTGGCTGAAGACCCAAGGTCAGAGATGCTCAAAATAAGCGTCTGAAATTGGACAAACACTGAAAACTGGGACATTCCCAGCCATTTAACCGCCACTTTCAACCGCTTTCACGTTGGTCTCAGCGTACACGGCTTCCCTTTCACTTGTCTCATTACCTGCTAAACTCCTATTTATCATTCAACAACCAGTGCATCCTTCACCTTCTCCCTGAAGCCCTGCACACACCAACCACTCCCACCAGTTATCCGGTCCTCTGTCCTGAGGACATACAGTATATTTTTATACGCCCCTCTCCAAAAATAATCCAAAACCTACAACCTCTCTAGAACACAACAGAGGAAGTGTACTACTAGGTCCCTTTCGGGCGTTTTCACTGACCCGAGGTTCAGTGAATGCTTTTTTATCTAACTGTATTCTCTCACTACTACATACGTTCTTACCCTGCACGACCATTTCTCTCCTCGGAGCTGTAACCAAGGAATGCGTGCTCGTTTTCGGGATGACAGTTCTGAGGACCAGGTCGAGCTTGCGAGGTGCCTTTGACTGCGATCCTGCTGTGGAGCGCGTGAGGAATGACAGCATCTCCGGACGGCCACAGAGGAGACTTCGGGAAAAACGGTCCCAGAGCGAATCTAGAACAGCGGCAGGGTCGTCTTTCCCCCCGCCTCCAGACCTGTAGGGCTGCTCGGCGAGCACAGGTGCTGCGGCTACTTCTCTCTGCTTCTTCCCCTGTTGGCGTTGGCCCTGGGTCTCTTCAAGTCTGCGACAAGATGTGCCCTCCTCGGGTCCTAATCCCGGCCTGGGACGGGGATGCCCCTCGACAGAACTCCGACCAGGTTCGGGTCCCTGCTGGGGTCCGCTTGAGGCCGCTCCTCGCTCCTGCTCGGGGCCTGGGCTCAGCCTAGGACTGCGGGCCTCGGCCCGGGGCAAAGTGGCGCTCCGGCGGGCCTCCAGGCGGGCGCCGCACAGCCGCTTGTTGGCCACCTGCGGCCTCTCCAGCCACACTGCCACCGCTGCCCAGAAACCCCCAGGGAGCAGCGCGCCCGGGTCGCACACCTTCCTTCGGCCGACTTCCGCCATGGTCCACGGCAGCAAACACCCAGGCTGCGTCGCGGTTGATGACGCACTTTCCGGCGGAACGTGACGTCGTGGGCGTGGCTTGGTCGGAAACGGAAGTGACGGATGTGTGTGGCGTTATCCGCTGCTCAGTCTGTGGTTTCTGTTACGATTTTTGGCTGTTTAACGTAATTTTCCGTGGGTGTCTAAAAGTACTGTGGTCACAGCTGAGTTTTTCAAGAGACTGGAGGCGGTGTAGTTACGGACTCATTCACTTTCCTCGGGGTGCCTGAAACCCTTCCGCTCCAGCATGGATTACTGACTGGGCCTCTTAGAAAAGCGCCTCTTCTTGTCTCCACATGATTTCGAGTTGCTTTTCTTATGGGCGAGTTGGGCTAGAAAGTCCTTAGTGTGAGCACAGCCGGGATGTTTCATCAGGAGGCTCGATCCCTTGGGACCTTTATGAACGCCCCCCCCCCAGGTGAACGTTCTCGTAAGCCTCGCTCCTGGGTGCGCGCAGAGCCAGTACGCCCAACCGTGAAGAGAGACTTATTGCAGATAAGAGAGTTACTGGCCGCAGAAGGCCATTTAGTTTGGGAGAAGAAAAAAGGCTTTTCAAAACTGGTCCCGGGGAGATGGAGGCGGTTCGTACTGCCGCCACTGTCTCCATTCTCTTCTCGCTCGGTGGAAGAGAAATTCGATTTTGGCTTGTTGGGGCCAGTATCTGATCTGGTCTGAGGAGAAGAGAGGGTGGCAGCTGTGTCCTCAGTCTGAGGAAGTGTGAAGTGGCTTGTTTCTAAAGGAAAAAAATTCTAACTTTTAAAGTTCCATCTTGCCCTACCAATCGCAAGAGCACTGGAAATAACGCCCAAGTCGGGTCTCCACTACACAGGAGGCTCCTGGGTTTCATTAGGTAGACTTAGGCAGGTTCACATTGGAAAGCGTAATCACATGTAGAGGTAGCTTACTAGTTCCACATCATGTTTCTTCATACCTGGTGTGTTCAAAACAGTGGCCAGGAATGCTCCCCAGCTTAGAGGATTTAGCATTATTATGAGACTCTGATGGACATCATTTACTCTAGGCGACCCAGAATAATGACAGAGCAATTTTGAATTTGGGCTGGTTTAGACCGGTTCCAAATGGAGTTTTCTGGTCGGGGGTGGAGGGGTCTTACCTGAAACAAAAGAACAAAAGCCAACATGAGGGGCATTGGCAGTCATTTAAAGGGTGACAGTTCCTTCACCTGCAGTCAGTGCTTGCCCCGGAGGTTCCTACGCAATAGCTCACAGTCTGTCACAGAATGTTTGGACACTGCCACCTGAGTCCAAAGTCACCGGTATCTGGTCTGCAGAATTGTAGTGCAGTTCTTCATTGCAGAAAGATTCTTCATTCTATCTGCAACAGGAGACTTCTGGCAGGGATTTTGCCCTTCCCTGAAGCATCTCTGAAAATCAAAGCAAAGTGAAAACTAATTCAAGTCACACGATTTATCAGAATGCAGAGCACAGACCACACTGCGGAGCTAAATACAGTAAAAGATAACTGAGTAGCATAGCCCCCTGGACCTGTGCTCACTCTGGCCTGTTGCATCTTTTGATGCTCTAGGCTTTTTTTGTTTTTTAGTATAGTCTGTGTTAGATTACTAGGGCTTCTGTGACAGATTACTACAAAGGGAGACACATTCTCCCACAGTTATATGAGGGCTCTGGGGAAGAGTCTGTCCCTCTTTCCAAACCCAGCTTTTGTGGTTACCAGCGACCCTTGGTACCCTCTGCCTTGTGCTGGCTTCCTTCTGACCTCCATGGTCACATCATGGTCTTCCTGTGCTTCCTGAGTCTCCTTTACTCTTCTAATAAGGATACCACTCATTGGCTATTAGGGCTACCCACATCCAGGATAAACTCATTAACTCAATTACATCTGAAGGAACTGGACCACCACCATCCTACTCTAAGCAGAGATCACTTTAATCCCTTACCCCTGATATGTTTGTACAGCTTCAGCAAACTTCTTGTCATGGGTCAAGCACAGGTACACCCTATCATTCAGAATCATTGTTCTTGACAAACAGTACACAACTCCTTGTACATCCTCAAGCCTCATTCTGGGCAGATAGCCACAACTTCTTTGTACTGGGCTTTTCCCCCTCAGAAGTCCCATTGTGATATTACTTCTACAGCCCCCGTATATGCTCATGATCCTCTAAAGACCTTCTAGCCTGTGTAAAGTTTGCTGGTCTGGTGTTTAGTGCCCAGGTGGTCCCTCTCGGGTTTATTCTGAAGTAAACCTGTACCGATGAGCTCATGTCCTGCTGCTTTTCCTTTTGTCCTACTATTTGGTGCCCAATGTGGGGCACAGGTTTAAAGGACTACCTCAATATTGTCCACCTCTTCCTTTTGTGAACATCTGCAAAGGCCCTGTTTTGAAATAAGATCACAGATGCTAGATAAGATTAGGACTTCAGTTACCTTTCAGGAAACACAACTCAATTCCAACACTGTTCAAGGGTGTTTGGCCCATTTGGGGCAATCAAAATAGAAATGTTCCCTGATGATTATCATGTCTACATGGAGACCTGAGCAAGGGTTTGACCCAAAGTCTTTGTTTTGTTTTGATTCTGTTTTGGATTTTTGGGATAGGGGCTTCTATGTAGCCCAAGATGGCCTCAAACTTCCAGAAATCCTCCTGCCTCAGCTTCCTGAATGCTGAGATTACTGGCATGCACCACCATGCCTGGCTCTACAATTTTAATAAAGGAGATAGATGCAAAATGCATTCTGTCTTTGTTCTGCTTTTACTCATTGGGCATTTGTGGGCACAAGTGTAGGGTTGTTTTGTTTTGTTTTAGCAAAAATAGCTCCCAAGTTCCTACTGCCTCAGAAGAGAACAAAAATATTTTAATAAGTAACAGGTTAAGAGCTCAGGAGTTCATCCTCTGTCCCTGTAGTGGTCTCCAACTAGGTTAGGAGGACTTGGAGACAAGTGAGTTAAAGAGAAATAACTTTTTAAAAAAGGTTTTCAAACTGGATTTCAATCTGCCAAAGATTAAAACTAGACCATTATCTTTCACCATGCACTAAACTAAAATTGTCAATGTCTAGTGCATTGGGGGCCCTGGGTAAGGGTCGCACAATAACCAGAACACAGGGGATGTAGTGATGAATAAAATAATTGCAACTGCATGCTTTATGTTAAGAGAGCTAGTCTTTTTATAGAGACTTAGAAGCAGGATATATTAATCATAACACCGTGACATTACCTTAGTGCAGACTTCTTACAGACTTCAGGCTGTCGAGATAATGTCTGTCTCCCACTATTCTAAGAGCCAATGTTATGGTTATGAAAGTACAAAACAAAACTCTTACATATAAAAACATTAGGAGACAAATAATCACAAGGCAATTTCCTTATCCCAAGATATATTCTGGCAGAACATTAAGATGCAGGCAGAGAAAGTTTGCTTTCTCTTCACTTGGCCTGCCAAGCAGCCAAGCACCTCAAGTCACCTCATAGATCAAGGGCAGAACAGCATAGTTTGTTGACTGTATCTCCACATTAAATCCAAGTGGATTGAATATCTAAATATTAAGACCAAAACACTAAACTTGCTGGAAGTTGTTAGGCAGAACTCTCAAAGACATTGGCATAGGAAAAGACTGTATGAACAAATCACTGGTCATTTGAGAGATGCAGGTGAAAACAACACTGAGATTTCATCTCACCCCAGAAAGAGTGGCTGCTATCAAGAAATCAACCAATAGCAAATGTTGGTGGGGTTGTGGGGAGAAAGGAACCCTTCTCCATTGTTGGTGGGAGATATGGAGATATCAATATGGGATACCTCAAAGAACTAGGATTAGAGGTTCCATTTGACCTAGCTATCCCTCTGCTGGGTATGTTTCCAAAAGAATTAAAAGAATCATACCACAGTGATATATGCACACCCATGTTTATAGCAGCAAAGTTTGTAATAGCTAAAACTTGGATACAGCCTAATTGCCCATCAACTGGAGTCTGGATAAAGAAGATATGGTTTTTCTATAAAATGGAGTACTACTCAGCCATAAAGAATGAGAAACTAGAATCATTCATAGGAAAATGGATGCACATTGAGGCCATACTCTTAAGTGAAATAAATAAGAGACACGTGTAAATACTGAATAGTTTCTCTGGTGTGAAAAACTAAAAGTGTAAATAAGATCCAAATTGTATATCATAATGTGAAATAGGAAGAAAAGGGCTAAAGGTGTAGGAGAAGTGGGAAGGATGGGTAAAGGAAATAAGGGAAAAGAAAAAGTATGAGAAAAGGAAAAAATGGAAATAAAGTCTTTGTAAATAGGGGAGGGAGGAGGAGGTGAAGGGAGGGCAGGAGAATGGGGGAAAATGAGAACCAAGACCTGTCAGGTAGAGGTACAAGATCCCAATGATGAATGTAACTGTACTGTATACTTTAAAAGTACCAATAAACTCAATGAAAAAATAAAAGTTAAAAAGGTCTTCAAGGGAGTCCCGACTCCAGGAGATCTGACTGCACAAATCAGAAAAGAACAAAATACTTCCCAGGGTTATAGCAGTTGTCGGCACAAACACGAGTCATTCTCCTGTCTGCAGAGCTCGTCACATATCTACCATCATTGTTGGTTCTAATGAAAGTCAAAGGCAATGTTTTCAATGAGAACTTAGTGACCACCAGCAAGGCTTCCTTGATTTGGGTGCCAGGCCTGGGTTGGGCATTCTTGCTCATTTCACTTGATCTCGGGTCACAAAGCACTTTTGCTTCTGCATTCGGCTGGGTGTGTAACATCCCTCATGGAAACAGCATTGAGGCAGGTGTGCACCATGACTTCTCCACACGCAACAAAATGATGTTTCAGTTAAACGAGGGCTGGAGTCCTGAAGCCTCCTGTTCTCTGAGTTCTGTGATCTCATGCTCATGGATCCTTCTTGTCCCTAAGGCTTTATTGTGTCCTGGAACTGGTTAATTTATATCCTGCTTCTTGGCTGCTTGTCACATGTGCATAGTGGGGGGGGTGTTGGGGAGACCAACCCCAAAGAATCATACAGGCTCAGGGCTTTGGAGTGCAAGGTCACAAATCCAGGAGCCCTTGTTTGGGGGAAAACAGAAATGTCCAGTTTGGTATAGGCTTGATTTTGTTTTCGTTTTTTGTTTTTTGAGACAAGATCTTGCAGTGCAGCCCAGGCTGGCCCCAAACTCACAGCAATCCTCCTGTCTCAACCTCCCAAGTGCTGAGATTACAGGCGTTCGACACCACACCCTGGTGTGGGTTTATACAGTTGCATACGGACATGATGGTTCCTTGCTGGAAACCACACCAGCTGAACTGAGTCCACTCAACCTGCTCACTGGCTCCCACCTCCAGCACCCCACAGGGTCTTTCTCCTGCCTGCCTTTCCTACTCATTTTCCAACCCTCTTACCCCATCCGTGAATGGTCTTGCTGCTCTTCAGGCGGCCAAGCTCACTGCTACCCTGAGGTTGCCTTCTGTGTTCCTTTCCCTGCAAAGCACACTCCGGGGTCTTCTCTCCATTCAGGAAGTGTAGGAAATGCCCCCTCTTCATTGGGGGTTTCCGTGCCACCAACCAAACAGCCCCGGACCCTTCACATGTTGCTGCCATGTTTTGTTTTCTCATAATTACCATGTGTTGCTTGTCTCTGGTCTGGTCCGCTCCCTCTAGAAAAGATTCCATTAGGTTGGTGTCCTGGACTAGCATATCCTCAGCACCAGATCATGTTGTTCAGTACACAAGACACATGTGTAAAGTCACTGAATCCAGAGGTC